CACGAGAGAAAAAAAGAGCCAAAATATGGTTTGGCTTTCAACTGAAATGTTATAAATGTTAACAAGAAAAGATAGCTCTTAATAGTATTTTGATCCAAGGTTTATTTTTACAAAATCCCTTTATATAAATATTAAGACTAGGACTAGGACTTGGAAATGACGAAAATGTTATTTTTTAACTGAAGTTTTGTTGCTAAATCATAATTTATCGTTTCAAAAAATTAAACAAATAATTCGGACTGTAGATAATATTATGATTGAAAGACGAAAGATTGTACAACGTGAAAACAAAATTACGAATAAATTGTAGAAATTTACATGATTTTAGCCAAAAAGGTATTCCATATTCGATAGTAGTCCGTCAATTGTACACTTTATAGGTAGTAAAGATTTTAAAATAAATGAATAAATAAATAACAAAACCAGTCTCGTCATTTCGACCATTAGATAACATGTTCGTAACTTTTTTAAATATAGAATAAGGGTGACAAACGAGCACACAGTCCACCTGATGGTAAGTGAATGCTGTGGCCCATAGATATCTACATATCCTCAATAAGGAATCAAAACGCAGATGTGTTGTCACCCCTGAGGACTAAGATGAAATGCCTCGTTTCCAGTTAAAAAGGATCTCCGGATCTCTACACTCACCATACGAAATACAGCAGTATTAAGCTGCTATTTTTCGCTGGTATTCTGTGAGAGCGTGGTCCTCCGCGGTCGAACTGACTCATTCGTGCTACAACCATAATAGCGTAGTTACCACGGAACACCTAATATAGCGGAATATTAAGTGTTCTGTGGTAGTAACCATAGTTAGCCATAGCGTAGCTCTACCACGTAAAAAACCTTTTGCCCACCTAATTTCCAAAATTGCTGTCTTAGTTCTGTGTTTACTTTCTAATACAATCTGTTATATAAAAGTAAGTTATAAATCTAATATTCTTAAAATTGTATTTTAAATTTTGTTTATATGGGTCCTAAAATGACGACAATTTGCTAAACAGCCTTAACGGTATTTCGAGGGTCTTACAATCTTAGTAGCTCTACTATGTTATAGATTCTATCATACAGTCATTGTTTTTAATCAGTTGTATAATGAAATATTTTATTACTTACGCTGAATAGCAGTTCTTTTTGACATAATATATAATTATCTTTAGTGATAGTATATTAAAATATATTTGTGTCAGAAAAATCAAGTCGGGGGCCCATTAATGCGGCATTTTCAGAAAGTGGCTACAGCTTCTTCGGCTTAATTCGACCTGAAATGTGTGCCAAACCGTGACGCTACGAGATTATATTATTATTAATTATTCGTAAATGCAAGTCTGTTGTACGATCTTCTGATAGTCTGGAGTTAACTATTGTCAATGTCTCATTGGTCTTAGTGGTTGTTAGAAAAACTGCTCATCACGTGGTACCGGGTTTGAGTCACCGATATCAGTTAGTGGGTTTTCTATTCAGAAATTCTCTATAGCAATCCGAGTCAAGGAGTAAGCGGTGTTTTACCCCCGTACCTCGGAAACCAATATTAAGAGGTCCTGCGCCTGATATCTCTCTCCGGTCGTGTTCCATCGGACTATGAGAGTGAGGAAATAGAGAGTGCACCTGTGATTGCGCACAAACTGCGCTATAACAGGTATAATCATTTCCTTCGCAGATGACTAGTCCCCCAGTTAGGACTGGCCGCCGTGATCGAAATCATGTCTCGAGGACATTATCATTATTTTTATGTCAGTTATCAATATTACTGTAATCATTTATTGATTTATCAACGTTCAGCTCAAGATCTCTTTGTAATGTCGAAATGGAATAAGCAGATGGGAATTTTTCTATATTTCAACGGGATCGGGAATAAAGAAGATCTATCTTTTCGCTTTATAGTCCCCTTAATTCTGTTAGAGACTTCCAATTTGGCATGTAAGTAGATAATTATTATCACTCAAAACTTATTTCTGAATTTACCGAAATCCCTGCGGGAGCGAGATGAAAATGGATTGATATCGCTTTATTAATAATAGTTATTTATTATTATTTCCGTAACTACAATCACTAGAGACTTCAATTTGGCATGTAACTAGTTAATGTTCCTAGGAGAGCAACAATGAACAAAGTTGCCGTAATTTCAAATTCCACGAATAAATCACAGGTAATATTTTGATAGCATAAATACAAGATGCACAACCAAAGCCAAAGTCCACTTACCAATATAATGATCTGAATAGTGTGAGGTATATAAGGGTAAAATTTTCAAGTTATGACTGTTACTAGCGCATTCTTAAAAAGACTACCCATATACTAAACCATAAAGAACCTTTTTAAGAATGTATTCAGCTTCGGATTTAAAAAAATGGTGCGTTCTAGCTCTAACGAGCGACTGCTGTACGAATACATTTTTTTTAATAGTGTCTAGGGTGATGTTATTCTTTTATGTTGAAGAAATTAATATAGAAATTAAAATCGATGAAGTAAACCCATAAATGTTTTTTTTTTACTTCTTTAATAATTTAATTAAAAAAAGACCAAAAAGAATTTTCGTTTTGATGATGTTTTCCGACTGAACCGAACCCTTTCAAATAAGGTATAACGGTTACCAGGAATTAATACGTTTTAAGGAGATTGAAACTTGCTAAGCAATATAGGGTTTACACGGGCGAAGCAGGGCGACTCATAAAATGTCAAAATAGATGAAAAAGCTCATGTAACGTAATTACAAAATAAAAATAGAAGTTTATTTTTAAAGTCTTCAAATAATTCCAAAAAAACAAGGACACATTTTCATAACCTTTCAGATTTTGCACATTTTTACCATCAAAGGGTTAAATGGCCTACTTTAGTACTAGGGCAGCATGACTGTATAAATGTTGAGCGAGATACCGACAGGCAAAAAAGGCAACCATGTGGACCTCAACAAAAATAGAACAAAAGGTACATCTATATTCCCGTCTCTTTTCATTATAAGAAAGTAAACAAAGAACAGTGCAGCGATACATGATCGAAAGGCAACGAACGATGGCGGGGAGTGAGCTTGGTTGAATAAGAATAAAAAGTTCCAAAAAGGACAGAGCGTATTTATTATTCCTGCTCAGGGCATTTTGTGAGTCGTTTACGAGGGTCGCAGCGTTTATGTTCAAAGTTTTGATGAAGCCACAGCTTATGGAGTGAAAGCTTACGACTATGTATAATTGATGCGGACCTAACAATTATTATAACATTTAGAATGTGTATTTATTTATGTTTCGACATCAAAAGTAAATTGTGAAGTTTAGTTCAAATTTAGACACATAATAATAAAAAATATATTAATGTTGTCATTAAAATTAATTGAACTAACTTAATTAATTCATTATATGTTTGTGTGTATGAAAAAGCGACTCTATATGAAATATTCTTGATAATATTCTTAAATTTACGCGAACACTACACATTGAATAAAACTATAATTTACGGTTTTTATCGCGTTTAATTGCTTTAATTTATTTTTATTATCCCGACGTTTCGGGTGCTGCCCAAATGGTACCAATGGTTTGGGACGTCAAACATCTCATACCGAATAATATAACGTTATAATTATTAGTTGGTTTTTGCTATTGGTATTGTGCATGTTAACGGTACAAGCTCGATTAGCCACCATTTCTAATTCCATTCTTTAGCGGTACGGATTGTAACTTTCATAGTTTTGATAACGACTGCTATCTTCAACTTCTTAATATTATTTTTGATTCGATTTCAGCGGAACGAACTGTAATATTTGTGTTTTTTAAATTCAATAACCTAGGGAATCATCCTTGGTAGAAATCGGTGTTCTTTTGCGAGGATTTGTGGTCTATCAAATCTGATGTGCCTAACGGTTGGTATGATCATGAACAAGTTGACATACTTCAGACTTCCCGGAGCGTCAGTGATTAACATCAGCTATATGTTAATTTACGCGGGTTTTTATGGATATATTTTTTTTTCTTATATAAGAATCCACATACGCAATCAACACTTTGTACACTCCTATATCTTGTAGAGGGATACTACACTTGACTACGTTAATAACTGACTAATCTTTTTCAGCGGCTTGTACTATGATGACTTTGAAACCCGCTTCAAGATGTAACCAATATGGTGTGTGACTCCCCTGACATATGAACCGTGAAGGTAAATGGTGATGTAGTCGAAGATAGTACCTAAACAAAATCAAAACTTAACATAAGCCCATTCACATTTGCTTCTTCTGAACGTCCACTTTGTAATCGGATAGCAAGACGGATCCTGGCTTTACGCATTATGAATGACGAAGCAAGAGTTTTGTTCGAATGGGGTGGAGACCCCTCAACAGTTAAATTGTCTGATGGTGGAAAGAGGAAGGAGGAATTATTGAGGAGGAGTGATACCTGTGCACACTCTTCGGACTTCATAACATATAAAAACTAGCGCCAGGTCTTGTCCTATAATTTTTAGACAATCATTTCAATTCATGATTTTTTAAATAACATTTTCAAAAATACTAAAAAGATTAAAAAAATACGTGAAGGGGTACTACGAAATATCGATGAAAAAAATAATAATGAGAAAAATTAATAAATGTTTTACAAAGTAAAAGCGGTATTGCCTTAGTATCGCCGCTGTTTACATTTCTCCTTTGCGTTTTTTGCAATTTGCAATTTATTTTATCTTGTACGAAATACAAAAAGGAAAAATTTTTATAACACGGTTATAATATAATATTTTTTATAATTTAATATAATATCAAATAATTTAATTATATCATCATTATCATCATTACAGCCCTTCACAAGTACACTGCCGAACATAACCACCTGCATCCATCGACTTCCTGCAGTCTTACCAGTTCGTTACTCCATCTAGTGGGGGGGGGGGTCGCCCTACACTACTTCTACCGGTACGAGGTTGCCACTCGAGAACCTTTTTTCTCCATCGGTTGTCGGTTCTTCGAGCTACAACCAAAAAAAACCTTTCAACAAAATCAAGGTACAAAAAAATCTCACCTGCAGACTGGGCGGGCAGTGGTCCAGCAGCTCCAACATGTGCTGTATGTTCTGTGCATCTTGTATCACGAAGTTAAGCTCCATGTCGAACTCGCCGCCAACCAACTGTAACAATACAGAACATGTTATTCTGCGTACCCCGTAGTCATTCCTGACAATCAATATGGTAGAACAAAACATAATATTGCATATTTTTCAAAAACTTGAATTAACATTGATTTTATTACGAGGTAGAGCCACGCTGTAGTTATATAATCGTTGTAGCACGAATGTGTCGGCACGACCGGGGAAGGACCACGCGAATACCAGCGTGAAACAGCAACTTAGTACTGCTGTGTTTCGTATGGTGAGTGTAGAGATCCGGAGACCCTTTTTTACTGTAAACGAGACATTCCGTCTTAGTCCTCATGGGTGACAACGCATCTGCATTTTAATTTAACGAGGATAAATGTAGATGCCTATGGGCAACAGCATATACTTACCCCATCAGCCCCATCAGGTGGACTGTGTGCTCGTTTGTCACACTTATTCTATAAAAAATAACAAAAGGTTTAGTATATTAATATTTCCTACTTTAGTTAAGAATAGAATCTATTCACATAGTATTACTAATAATGATCAAGATTAGCAAACCAAATGTGTGGTATTAAAATTTCAGATCAAGAAAGATAGAGAGAAATCGTGCAGTGGCGGTGTACGAATATAGCCCACTAGACAATATCCTTCCGTGGGTGTCGTAAGAGGCGACAGAGGGAAACCAAACCAGAAGATGGGCAGCAGCATCTTTCTGATAACCTGCATGCCAAGAGTGGCAACTGTGGCAAAATACTCGCTATGAGGCAACCTATGGGAGGGGCCTATGTTCAGCAGTAGACTTTTATAAGCTGTTATTTATGGAGGGATGCAAAAAAGATAAAAAGAACACTACGTACATTTCAAGTATTTTTTATAAGAGCGGGGTAAACGAGCACACGGCTCACCTGATGGTAAACGATTACCGCCGCCCATGAACAACTGCAACACCAGGGGAATTGCAGATGCGTTGCCGGCATTTTAAAAAGGAGTAGGCTCCTTTCTTAAAGGTCTCAAAGTCGTATTGGTCCGGAAAAGTCACCGGTGGTAGTCGATTCCACAAAGAAGTAACGTCGAAAAAGTGACACCGAAACCTCATCTTAATGTAAGATAACACTCACATATGCATCTGTAATTATTTGACATCAAGGTTTCGGTGTCACGTAATATTCTTTCTGTCCGTCTGTCTTTATTGGTCGGAGAAGATACAATTTTTTATTATAGAATAAGGGTGACAAACGAGCACACAGTCCACCTGATAGTAAGTGAATGCTGTGGCTTATAGACATCTATATCTATCCTTAATTAAGAATCAAAATGCAGATGCGTTGTCACACCTGAGGGAATGCATCAGTGAAAACCTGGGTGAGGCCACAGACTACTAAGATACAGACTCGTCTAGTTTAGGAGTCAGAGACTTCATAAAATTTGTAATTTAACTTCAAAGTCCTTTAGACCTATAAGCCTATCTTCCTTTCTTCTTAAGACATTGGAAAAGGTTATAGATAGATATATAAGGGATATAGCTCTAGATACGAGGCCCATACATTACAACCAGCATGCTTACCGCAAAGGCAAATCTACGGAAACAGCCCTGATCAGTGTCATGGACAGGGTCGAAAAAGCACAGGAGGACAAAGAAATAGCTCTTTGTGCCTTTCTAGATATTGAGGGCGCCTTCGACAGTAGCCCCACATCACTGCTGATTGGGGGCCTGACATCTAAAAATGTTGACCCCACAACCATCAGATGGGTGAAGTCGATGCTCTCAAACGGAAAGGCAAATATAGCGCTGTTTCAAACTTCGATTGAGGTTGCAACTACAAGAGGCTGCCCACAAGGAGGTGTTTTGTCACCCCTTCTTTGGACTCTTGCGGTTGACCAACTATTGTACAAAATGGCAGACCTACACATTGACACAGTGGGTTATGCTGATGATCTTGTGATCATTGCCAGGGGCTTTTGCCCAAGTACTTTATCGTCAATAATACAAAGAGCCCTAAACACCATAAATAACTGGTGTAGGGATAACAGTTTATCAGTTAATGCTGATAAAACTGTTATAATACCCTTTACCAAAAAGAGACGGTTGGACAAATTAGTACAACCAAAACTTAATGGCAAAGAAGTACCATTTTCCACGAAAGTTAAGTACTTGGGCGTAACAATCGACCAAAAACTAACGTGGAACTCTCACCTTAGCAACGTATGCCATAAGGCAAAAACTGCTTTAGGTACGTGCAGTCGTATGGTCGGGAACAACTGGGGCTTGCGTCTCAGTATAATCCTATGGCTGTACAGCAGCATAGTGAGGCCGATTTTCACCTACGCCTCTATTTTCTGGTGTAACAAGGCTAACCAAAAGACGAATGCGGACAGACCAAATAGTCTACAAAGGACTGCCTGCTTTTGGCAACTGGAGCTATGCGATCATCGCCTGGAGCGACTCTTAATGCACTTGTATGCCTAACGCCCCTTGATCTCTATCTATACAAGGAGGCGAGGGCTAGTTTGTATAGGATTAACGCCCAAGGCGGTCTGAACTTGCTCTCCTACAGATTGAAATCCATGCTCGACTCAATTAAGGAATCACCGGTCTTATGCATGATCTCAGATATCATGCGTCCACTACACACTTTTGACAAAAAGTATATAGTGGAATTACCCTCCAGAGAAGACTGGCTGAATGCTCAGGTTATCTGTGAGGTCGGTAGCCTCATATGGTATACCGATGGGTCTAAAATGGGCCTCGACGTAGGCTTTGGAATTTACGGGGAACGCCCCAAATTCAAACTTAGTATGAATTTGGGTAGATACACCTCTATCTTCCAAGCAAAAATTTTCGCCATACTTCGGTGTGCGGAAATCAATCTGCAAAAACACTACGTCAACCATAAAATTTACATAAACTCTGATAGTCAAGCAGCACTGCTAGCGCTGAGATCAAACTTAGTGAACTCAAAGCTAGTTGGAGACTGCGTGAACCGTTTAAACTCCCTGGGATGTAACAACAGGGTCGTTTTAAGATGGGTTCCGGGTCACAAGGGTTATTGTAGGCAACGAATTTGCCGACAAACTTGCACGGGAGGGCTCAATGTCCACACAATTTGGACCTGAGCCATTTTGTGGAATCTCAAGAAGCCTAGCCCGATTGACCCTTGAAACTATTTATCACAATAAATCACTTAAGATCTGGTCTGACACACCAGGCTTAAAACATTCTAAAACCATTTAAAAATCCGGGCTTTTGATCGTAAATTCGCTTCAGAAGCCCTGGGATTAAGTAAAAATAAATTGCGCATTCTAGCAAGAGCCCTAACTGGACATTGTTGTCTTAAAAAGCACATGTCCATCCTGGGACTAAGCAACTCGAGGATGTGTCGGTTCTGTTCCATAACGGAAGAATCGCCTCTACACATCCTAACTGATTGCGGACCCTTAATGCGCAAACGTAACACTCATCTGGGAAACTATCTACTCCGCCCAGAAAAAGTGAAATTGCTCACGGCTAAGCAACTCCTTTTATTCATTGAAGACATAGGGCTTAGCCGTGAACTATAGCCATAGCACCGATCACAATCATCATCATCATCATCATCACAGCCCTTCACAAGTCCACTGCTGAACATAGGCCTCCCCCAAGTAATGCCACAAAGCACGGTCCTGAGCCACCTGCATCCATCGACTTCCTGCATATCTTACCAGGTCGTCACTCCATCTAGTGGGGGGTCGCCCTACACTACGCCTACCGGTACGAGGCTGCCACTCGAGAACCTTTCTTCCCCATCGGTTATCGGTTCTTCGAGCTATATGGCCGGCCCATTGCCACTTCAGCTTACTAATCCGTTGGGCTATGTCGGTCAATCTGGTTTTACTGCGGATATCCTCATTTCTGAGTCTATCACGCAGAGAAACTCCGAGCATAGCCCTCTCCATAGCTCGCTGAGCGACCTTGAGCGTCCTCATACGGCCAGCAGTGAAGGACCACGTCTCTGATCCGTAAGTCATCACTGGCAACACGCACTGGTTGTACACTTTAGTTTTCAGAGATTGAGGTATACCTGACGAGAAGATATGTCGTAATTTCCCGAACGCTGCCCAGCCGAGTTGAATCCGTCGATTGACCTCTCGGTCGAAGTTGGACTTACCTAGTCGGACTATTTGTCCCAGGTAAACGTACTCGTCAACAACTTCGAGCATAGTGCTCCCAACAACTACCGGCATAGGTGTGACATGGACATTAAACATAATCTTTGTTTTGTCCATGTTCATCTTAAGACCTATCCGTTGGGAGGCACTATTGAGGTCATTGAGCATAGTGCTTAAGTCCTCCAGCGATTCTGCCATAAGGACTATATCGTCGGCAAATCGAAGGTGAGTGATGTACTCGCCATTGATGTTAATACCGTATCCTTTCCAGTCCAGTAGCTTGAAAACGTCTTCCAAAGCAGCGGTGAAGAGTTTCGGGGATATAACGTCACCCTGTCTTACACCTCTCTGCAGTTGGATAGGTTTCGAGCTCTGGTTCTGTACTCGGATAGCCATCGTAGCCCTACTGTACAAACACTTCAGCACTTCAATATACCGACAGTCAACTTGGCACCGCTGAAGGGACTGCAGCACCGCCCAAATTTCGACGGAATCAAAGGCTTTCTCATAGTCCACATACGCCAGGCAAAGTGGCAAATTGTACTCTTCAGTCTTCTGTACAATCTGCCGCAGGGTATGTATGTGGTCTATGGTACTGAAGCCTTTTCGGAAACCGGCTTGTTCGGGAGGCTGGAAGTCGTCGAGTCTGCGTGCGAGACGATTCGTAATGACTCTCGAAAACAGCACGTAGACGCGGCTCAGAAGGGAAATCGGTCTGTAGTTCTTCAAGAGAGCGTTGTCGCCTTTCTTAAAGAACAAGACCACCGCACTTCTGCTCCACGCCTCTGGAGTAGTGCCACCATGGAGGACGGAATTGAAGAGCTTCTGAAGGACTTCAAGTACCGGTGTTCCACCCGCTTTCAGAAGCTCCGCTGTAATTCCATCCTCGCCTGGGGCCCTGCCATTTTTAAGGTGCTGGAGAGCCATTCTAATCTCGCTTAGACTGACGTCCGGGATAT